ACTAAGGCATCTCAATCTGACTAGCATCTGGGGAAGATTACCTGTCTTCCCACTACCACTAGTTTGGTTTCCTCTGTACTTCACTTTATGTACCTTTTCCCTTTGTTGACTTTGTTTGCATTCCTTTGTTGTAATAAATCAGACTCTTAAGTACGATATTTGCTGTGTGCTGAGTCCTCTTAGCAAATCAGTGAAACAGAAGGTAGTCTTGGAGGGCCAGGGATTTAGCTCAGTGGTTCCGCCATCTGCCTCGCAAGCACAAGGTGCCGGGTTTGATCCCCAGTACCAAAAAAAAGGTAGTCTTGGAGACTCCCAACACAGATTTCATTTAACTTCAGCTCACCTCTTCACTGGCCTCCATAATGATGACATGTGGGCACATGAATGGAGTAGCCATGGTGACAGTGATGGAAGCTACATATGGGCTCAACAGCATGGTCTCTCACTTACCAAGACAAATACTGTACTTTCCACTGTGAAATATCCACCCTCCCAGCAACAGAGGCCAATGTTGAGCCTCTAATACAGCATCATCCCTTAAGGAGACCAACCAGCCATCTAAAGGCAAGTTGATGGCCTTCCTGCCCGACGGGGATTTTGGCAGAGATCAATATATTCAAGTATGGGTTTACCTTTTCTGCCAATGATGCTTCAGTCAGTGCTACTGTCTCAGAGTGTCTGACCCACCAAGGTGGCGGCCTACATAATACTGCCCCACTCTGAGGAACCACCTTACTGTAAAGGTGTGAGAGGAGGATATAATCACAGGATCCTCTAGTCAGATCACACACCATTCTATCTAAAGGATGAATTCACTGAATGAGTGAATAACCTGTTCGAGGTAAAGATGAAGCACTAGCTCAGAAACGACACCTTGTAAGGCTGGGATGTCATCTTCATCCCAGTATATAATATGTATACTAAAAATTAACAATGATTATATGGTATCAAGTCCCTAACAGGTTAAAAACATAGTTCTAGGAACCAAAGGGAAAAGCAGGAAGAGCCCCATTCACCATTACTTACAGTGATCCACTTGAGGAATTTATACTTCCTATCCCTACAAATCAAGACCCCTGATTCTCAATGGAAGAATGCTTCCAGCAGAAGACACACAGCAAGAGCAACACTAGATGTTAAAACTATGGTTGCTCCCCAGGCTCTTTGTGCTGAGGGACATCAGACAAGAGGAGACATCACTCTCCTGACAAGAGTGATGGACTCTCGTAAGCAGAACACAGGGCTCCTGTTATGCAATGCAGGCAGGAAAGAACATATCTGGTCAGTAGACCCTCTGCGTGTATCTTATTACTCTTTCACTCAAATCAAAATTCCCTTTAGGTAAAAGTCAAGAGACCTTGCGCAAGGATATAAATGTTTGGCATAAAACTAAGAAGCAGGGGAATTAAAGACACTTCTGTGAAGAAGAGTGGCCTGCAAAAGGAGAAGCAATGTTCTTCCTCCCTGAGTGAGTGATGGGTACATAAGGGATTACTGAGTAACTATTTATACCTTGTGTATAATTTTTAATGTTTTTCTCTGCATACTCAATATTTAATTTTTAAATTTAAAACAAAAATATTTACAAGTGAACCCATTTCCTTACTTGAGTGATGAATGAGAAGCCTCACAACCCTTCCAACTTTGCAGGGAGGAAAAAAATACCCCACTACACCCAAGCAACTGACCATGTCCTATAAGGACTTAAGGAGGGAGCAATGCAGTAAGTGCTACCAACACCCTTAACAATTTCTCTTTATACTCTCTCTCTCCCTTCAAGTTCTTCATGCCCTCTCTAGTTTACAAATCAAAAACAGTCTTAAGGCAAAAGGCTGGATGTTAGAACTAATCTATTATGGGACTGATATGAATCAAGGAAAATAAGTTGGGAGGAAAAGAAAAATCCAAAACCCCTTCTAAGTTTAGTTGAAGTTCTGGAAAACCTTAAACTGATGCCAGATGGTAATTTAAATGTTGGTCTCCATTTAACAAAAATTTAAGATTATTGCAGGCAGAACACAGAGATACCATCTTTTGATGTATTGTAAGCATGAATATTTTTTCAGAGTAAATGAAAAGGATACAAAATGATTTCAAAGGCAGAAAAGCCCGAGTCACTCAAAATACATACCTGAAATGATATTTTTCAATGATGGCAAAAGCAACAACAAATATTTAATACAAGCTTGCAGAAGCACTAAAGAAAAGGGTCACTTAGAAGAATTCAAACATTTTCATCTATGCCCTTCCTCAGTATACTCATTAAAATTTGTCTTAATAGTCTCTGACATTTAAGAGATATTTACATTTTGTAGCTTGAAGACTAACATTTACTTAATGCCAACTTTCAGCTCAGTGCCAAGTATGACAGTGTTAGTAGCATCAACAGCCAACAACACACTAGACAAAAAAAAAGTAGACAGTTTAAAAATGGAAATAAAAGATGCAAAAAAAGCCACTGATTTATGCTATACATTACTCCATATTAACAATATTTCTTTAGACCACATGGGAAATCTTCAAAGAACAAATGAAAAACTACTGCAGATAATTTGGCAATATAAAGGAATACAAAATTAACACACCAAAATCAGCAGGCTTCATGCTGTACAGTCAGAAACATAAAAGAACATAAGACCCTAGTACAATAGCAACAACTATGAATACCTACGAATAAACTTAAGAACTATGACGGATACTTGAAAAACCCTGTCCACAGTAATGTATTTAAAATCTAAAAGCTGTAGAGAAAAAAATTATAAATTTTATTGTATTAAAAAATAGTACATAATCAAACAAAAATAAATCCATGTTCAAAGTCAAGGCATAGATAAACTTGACTAAGCTTCATAATATATAAAGAACACCTAGAAAGTAAGAAAAAGATCAAGAATCCAACACATCTGGGCAGTTCAAAAAACTGTAGAGGTTCTTAAATGTAAAGAAGGCCAACATCATTCATAAGAGAAATGCAAATTAAAACTACACAGATTCATTTTCCATCTATTAGACTGGCAAAAATCCAAGAGTTTGATAAATTCTATGGCAAAGCTGTGGAGAAATAGGCACTCTCACACTTTGCTGGGAGGAGTATCACAATCCCTATGGAGGGCAATATGGCAATACTTACAAAAATTATAAATGCATATTCCCTTTGACCCAGTAATTCTGCTTCTTGGAATTTATCCGACAATTGTACATGTGCAAAATGCCATATGTACAAAGTTGCTCACTACAGCATTACTTGTAATAGCAAAAGATTATAAATAACTCATCTTAACTAATAGGGACCTGGTTAAATAAATTGTAATGCTCCTTATCAATGGAATACTATGCAGCTATGCGAAGAAATGAAAAATTTTCTGGGCACCAACATGTATAGACTTTCCAGTCACTTTGTTAAGTAAAAATAAGCAAACTCTAGGACAGCATTACAAATACGCTACTTGGGGCTAGGGATGTAGGTCAGTGGTAGAGGATGTGCTTATTTGCAAGCACAAGACCTTGAGTTCAACCTCAGCAGCACCTGCCCCCAAGGTATGTACATTTTGTATCAAGGGGGAGGAAAATAAGAATATATGTATATTCAATATATATTCATATTTTCATACGAACACTTGAAGACACACAAACTAGTGAAATGGATGTGAGTAAAGACTGGCTAAACAGGACAGGAGAGACCAAAAGACTTTTAACTGCTTAATTTTTTTTTATATTTTTGAACTATAAAAACACATTACTTATTTAAAACATGAAAAAATAAGAACAACAATAGCACTATCATTTATTGTGTGCTCACTCAAGATGGGCATGTATTATCTTATGTAATCTTCATTAACACACTAAAGTGGGTAATATAAACCTCAATATAAAGCAGAGAAAACTGAGTCCAGGAAAGTTTCTATATCTGTAAGCCAGTAATATTACCTATCTCACAGGTTGTTGTCAAGATTAAATGAGATCATGTATATAAAATAGCACAATGTCTGACACACAGTAAATACTTAATGCTTTATCATTCCAAGACAACTACTTTCAAGAGCTGGAGACGTAGCTCAATGGTACAGTACTTGTCTAGCACATACAAGGCCACAAATGGACTCATTCCCCAGTACAAAAACAACAGCAACAACAACAACAAAAAGAAAGCTTTCAAGGATGTTTCAATCAACTGAACCAAATAAAATATAATGAAGATAAAATTTTATTGTGGCTTTTTTTTTGGTTCTGGGGATCAAACTTGGGACCCTGCGCTTACGAGGCAGGCGGTGGAACCACTGAGCTAAATCCCTGGCCCTTGTTTTGTTTTTAGAGACAGTCTCACTATGTCACTCAAGCTAGCCTTGAACTCACTATGTAGTCCAGGCTGGCCTTGAACAATGAAGATAAAATTTTAGCAAAGACACTTTAATTGAAATTTTTATACATGTAAATTAAACAGCCTTTTCTAATTAATTGAAGTCTACTTTAGATATGCTACATCCTTACTATATAAATTACATAGCCGTTAAAAAAATGCTCACACCCCATAACTACACTTGGGGTTTTAAGGTCACTAAAAGTCTGAATATACTTGATTAAAAAAAAGTGTATCAACTGAAAAGTTTCGAAGTATAAGTATTATTTATTTTTAAAAGTGAAGAAGACTGTATATGTGACTGTAACTTAAAGAAAATTCCAAAATGACTGGAGAAAAGATAGCCTCTTTAGTAAATGGTGTTAGGATAAAAAGGTATCCACATGCAGAAGATTGAACCTAGACCCGTATCTCTCTCTCCATATACTGAACTAAAATCAAAATGGATCAAAGAACTAAATGTTAATACAGAAACAACCTGCTAGAAGACAAAACAGGTAAAACTGTGGAAGTCACAGTTGTACGCAAGGACTCTCTGAACAGAACCCCACTTGCATAGGAAATAGTATCAAGAATCAATAAATGGGATCATATCAAATTAAAAAGCTTCTGGGACAGGGGATTTAGGTCAGTGGCTCCATACCTGCCTCGCAAAATCAAGGTCCTGAGTTAGATCCCCTGTAAAGGGTGGGGGACGACAACGACGATGACTTGTGTACAGCAAAAGAAACAACTGAGTGGAAAAGACAACCTACAGAATAAGAAAAAAAATTTGCCAGTCACTCCTCAGACAGAGGACTCATAATCTAGAATATATATAGAACTAAAAAAATTAGATCCCCCCAAAATAAAAGATACAATCAAAAAATGGGGAACTGAAATGAATACACACTTCTCAGAAGTACAGTCAATAAATACATGGAAACATGCTCAGCATCACTGGGCATTAGAGCAATGCAAATTAAAACAACACTGAGATTCCATCTCATTCCAGTAAGAGCAGCCATGATCAAGAAATCAAATAATAACAAATGCTAGTGAGGAAGTGGAGAAGAAGGGACTCTTCTACATTGTTGGTGGGAATGTAAACCAGTACAACCACTGTGGAAATTAGTGTGGGGAGTCCTCAAAACACTGAAACTAGAAATTCCACTTAGTATTCCCAAGTATTCCCCTTCTAGGTCTCTTCCTGAAAGAGTTAAAGACATCATATTATAATGATATATACATATCCACATTTATAGCAGAACAATTCATAATAGCTAAATCTTAGAAACAGCCTATATGTCCATTAACAGATGAATGGATAAAGAAAATGTGGTATTTACACACAGTGGAGTACTACTCTGCTATAAAGAAAAACCTGAGTCCTCTGTAGAAAATTGGATGCATCTTGAGACAATAATGTTAAGTGAAATAAGCCATATATACAAGCTTAAATATTGCATGGATTCGAAACCCAAAGTATAAATAAAGAGCAAAATAAAAGATAATAGGAAGTAGAGAGATGTATCTTTCTCAAAGGGGAAGGAGGATCAAGAAATGGAAGGAGCAGGGAGGAAGGGGAGGGAAAAAGAGATGAAAGAAGAAATTAAGATGTGTGATGTATGTGTACCAACTCCACACAAGAAATATAAACATTACATACTGCAAACATGTAGTAATTTTTTTTTTTTAGTGCCAGGGATCAAACTTGGGCCCTTGCACTTGAGAGGCAGGTGGCAGAACCACTGAGCTAAATCCTTGGCCCAACATGTAGTAATTTAAAAAAAAATTTTTTAAAGAAAATTTCAAAATGAAAGATTTGGTTTCAAGATGCTGTCACTTGTAATTTACTTACTCATATACAACAGGATAACCCATACTGTGAAACTATACCAATCACTGTACACGTTGTTAACCCATAAGCAATATGCTATTTTGGGAAAATTTCAAACAAAACACCAACTTTCCCCTTTCTAGAAACAGCTACACCGCACCTAGGACTCATTCTCATATTTAACACCAATGAAAAGCAGATGAAGAGGGAAAAAAACTGCATATAGACAGCTAGCTTTCCATAAGCTTATCAAAGGCCACAAGATAAGGCTGAATTATCTCAAAAAAGAATTAAGATTGGGCAGAGGCTCACTAAACTTTTTTTTTTGGTACCAGAGATCAAACTCAGGACCTTGCACTTGTGAGGCAGGTGGCGGCACCACTGAGCTAAATCCCTGGCCCTCACTAAACATTTTAATTGAGGTTTTAAGTTTTTGTTTTTGTTCTGTCTGAAAAATACTCTATGCATGGATCATCCAAATGTACACAAGAAGAACAAGGGGTCATATTTAAAGTTTAGAATGAAGTAAAATATGTCCTTATTAATGATTCTAAGTTTAATTTTGATTTTGAAAAGAATGCACATTTACTCACTATATTGTAAAATGAACTATTTCTTCTATTCCCAGGTTTCCTACCTTTAGTCATAAAACAGGACTTTCCACCCTTCTAGGAACACTGGAAAGAGTAGTCCCCACCCTTATTTTTTAGCCTAACCTGTTCTCTCAGAAGTGCATGCTAATCAACCATTTCTGTGTGTTCAGCCTGTTGGGATCAGGACCTGACCAGCCTTCTAGAAGTAGGTCTGGAGAGGTTCTAGCTCTCTGATCTCTTTACTGGCATGGAAAGGGTAGGAGAAAGCAATTCTAGTAAGTCTGTCTCCTCTGCTGATCCAATCTTTCCTTGTGTGAGTCATGCCAATGCCTAGACCTGCAACATCCAACATAGTAGACATAAGCCAGCCATATTTGATGATTTAAATTTAATCACTTTAAATAATATTTAAAACTCTATTCCATAGTCGCATTAGTTACACTTCAAGTACTTAACTGACACATGTGGCTAATGGCTATCACACTGGGCAATGTGGATATAGAACACTTCTATCCTCATAGGAAGTTCTACCAGACAAAGCTGGACTGGACTCAAAAGGAGAAAATATTAAGAAAGTCTGATTAGGGCTACATCCTAACTTGATTTTGGCTATATATCTGAACCTGATTTACCAATAATGAAGTGGATATGTTTAATTTCATTTTCTGATTTCTCTAACTCTCATCATACCAAAGTCAAATCAGGGAGATGCATGATTAATGTTCATCTCTGAATTTCTAAGAAGAATAACTAGCACATACAGAACATTTATAATTTATCAGCCACTATACAAAAGCTTTATTTTAATTTTTCTAATTCTTGATACAATATTATAAAGGAGGTACTATTATCATCACATATCTTTTACAGGTTTAAAAAAAAGAAGACAAAGCCTTAGAGAAATTAAGTGATTTGTCCATGGTTGCTATAAGTGGTGGAGTCAGGATTCAATTTAGAAAATCAAAAGCAAATAAAAACGATAGGTCTAATTCATATATAAAAACAGAAATTAAGTAAGGCTCATCCCATGGAAGTCTTCTGTGAAATTTTTATCATTACAGAAACACAGAAAATTAGAATAGGAGCAGAAACTAATGCAGTGTTTCATGACCATCTTTAGCCCATGACCCCTTCTGGTGACTATAAAACTTCATCTCCTGAAGATGATGTGTGCTATTAAAATGCCTTATACCTTTTTGCATGTTCCTGTCAAATTTTATAGGCTTTATTTTTTGGAAGTTTTTCTGTAAAAGTTAATCTTTCGTTTCCTAACATATTAGAATATTTAATATGCTTTTTCAAAATACATTCCTTCCCACTTCAAACATACATATACTGAACCATAAAAATTGATGACCCTATCTAATCTCCCCAATTTTAGAAATGGGAACAGTGAAACCAGAAGGGAGTGAGATGGGATAGTTCACTTGCACAGAGGGACAAAATTGCTAGAATCAGGACACACTGGTAAGGCTCAGCTAGCACACTTTACCTGACTCTTAAAAACCAAATTTCTTTTTTTTGTTTTTTGTTTTTTGGTACTGGGGATCAAACTCGGGACCTTGTGCTTGGCAAAGCAGGCGGCAGAACCACTGAGCTACATCCTCGGCCCAAAACCAAATTTCTTAACCCTATACCAAAATAAAAGTTTGAGATTTTGTCCTATTTGAGAGTAGACCTTGTGAGTGTTATGGGAATAAAGTTCTGAGAGAGTTTGACTAAGAATTCCCTATGTGACTGTATCACTGCTCGCCCCCTCCCATTTGTTAACTGCAGCTACAGTGTGCTTTTTCAGATTTTAAGATGTCAATTCCTGTCTTCAAATACAATTACCAGGGGCAAGCCAAAACACTTTTGGATTAAGCCCTTTCTCTGGCATCTTCTACCCTCATCCTGTGTTCTAGGCATACTGCACCACTTTTTTCCCTAGAATTCACCACCATCTCTCTCTTTTCATCATTTTTCACATTTTTGCATCAATGTTTTCCCTGCCTGGAAACCTCCTGCCTCACCAAGCCCCTCCCATCTTTAAAGGCCTGGCTTAGGGTTCATCAAAGTGTCTCCCCTGACGCTTCACGTCCCCAGTCCAGGCCAGTCATCCTCTTCTAAGAACTCAGCCTACTAAATGTTCCCTTTCATGGCATTTGTTACACAGTATTATATGAGTCTCCATCTCCTCCAAGATTACATACCCCACTACATTAGGGAGATGCCTAGCTCACTCCCCATTGTATCCTCAGCATTTAGCCAGGTTCATGGCACATATAGCACTAAAGGGGCATCTGAAAAATGAATGAATTTTTCTTCCAATTATCTGGCTGGGCTTAATCACCCCAAGCTTACAACCAAACATGATCCTAAACTTTTTCTTTTATCTACTACCTGGTTAAGTTTTATTTTCCCTTTCTCTTTTTCTACCACTATCCCATACACAAATGACAGTACCCTCCCCACCTTTTTGACACTACTAGGGGTTGAACTCAAGGTGTTTGCACTGAGCTACATCCCCAGCCCTTTTTATTTTTTTAGTTTGATATTCTGGTTTCTCTTCAGATTGTATAAATCTTTCACCTTATTTTTAAATTTTTATTTATTTATTTTGATATCAGGGATTGAACTCAGGACCTTGCACTTCCGAGGCAGGTGGGGGCACCACTGAGCTAAATCCCCAGCCCTTACATTTTTATTTTCAGACAGGGTCTCACCACATTGCTCAGGCTGGCCACAAACTTGCAATCTTCCTGCCTCAGCCTCCCAGAATACAGGAATTACAGGCATGTACTACCACTTCTGGCTACATGCAGGCTATTCTTCCCAGATTTGTGCTTCCCACAAATGTGGCCAGCCTATCAAGGTTCTCATTCAAGTCCCACACAACAATGAACATCAGAGCCCTACGGTTTAGCACAACAGATAGCTCTCCAGCTGGACATGAATGCACTAATGACCACTCTGTGCCTAGTCACTCAGCCAAGTGCAAGTCCACTCAACTACAATGTAGTCTCAAACATTTTTCCAACTTGCCTATAAGAATTCTGTGCAAGGTTCTGCTAAAATAATTGGACGAGGGCTGGGGATTTAGCTCAGTGGTTTCGCCGCCTGCTGCACAAGTGCAAGGCCCTGAGTTCAATTCCCGGTATCAAAAAAAAAAAAATTGGACAGTTTGCTGATATTCAGAACACCATAACCAATGTACTCCAGCTAATCCATCCAAGAAAGAAACAAGGTTATTCTACCCTGCTTAATTCTAAAGCAACTCATGGTGCTCCTAGTAGTCATTCTCCTTTTTAAGATCACCAGCCCTTCAGCTGGTATGTGAGCATCTATAAATGCAAGAAT